GAAGATTTGTGTAAAAGGTAAGCTAATTTGATCAACATAATTTCATTTAATATTGTATATGTTTGTTTTGTTAACACTCAAAAATTTGTTATCGTAAACAGAATAGCAATTAAATTTGATGTCATAAGTGTCATATCGAACGGTTCAGTTGGATTTAGTACTTAATAGAGTCATAAATTAACATATAATAATAATCGTTATAATTATTAATTAAATTATTAATTAAGTGACATATGTACTCTAATCAATTTCTTCTATTGGTTCCATAATTGTATTAAGGAAAAACAAAGGTGAAATAGTAAAACATAGAATTTTGAAAATTTTTAATAGATAACTCATTCAGATGTAAGAAGCCGAATTGCTAAAGTACGGCGGACAACGAGGATTTAAGACCGGAAGTGGTGAAATTTATTAAAGTCATTTTATCATTCGTTATCAAGTTTTTTATTCGAAATTTAAAATCGATCAAAGGTAATTCTATCATTAGTCATTATAAATCAAATAATGTCTTCCTAAAAGTGATAAGATTTTCTTGAATTTCACATAAATTTTCATTAAATTTTTTGCCTATCATTAAAAATTTCAAGTTGAATTAATGATTTAATTGAATTAATTACAAATATCAACTTAATTAATATTGAAGATATTGACCAAATTAAAAACAATTATCAATCAAGCAAATATTTTGTTAGTCTCAGAATAAGTAAGTTGTTCCTTTCGAAAAACTTTGCTTATTTTTTCCAATATTTATGACTTTAAATTGATAAATATCTTTTTAAAATTGACATGATTCATTTTCAAAAACATTTCTGATTTATCACAAAAATTCCTAGCAAAAAAAAAAAAGAAAGAAAACAAAAAAGAAATTTAACCAACAACTGTTGCATTTGAAATTAATGAACTATAATTTGCTCATATTTGCGGAATTTTACATCATAAATTAGCTAATTATCAAAAAATTTATAACAAAGGTTGACCCATTTTTTTACAAATTGATAAAAAAATTCTTCGAATGAATGGAAATTGACAAGTCTCGCCGGGAATGGATTAATTGTAGTAATAACTGCCGAAAATAATTAAAATGACAATTAGGTATAGGTTAAATAATAAGTGATCATGAGGATTAATCAATATTAGCCGCGATAATAATAATAATAGTATAATAATAGTAGTATAATAATAATAATAATAATAATAATAATAATAATAATAATAATAATAATAATAATAATAATAATAATAATAATAATAATAATAATAAATAACAATAATAATAACAATAATAATAATAATAATAATAATAATAATAATAATAATAATAATAACGATAATACTATTCTTATCAATGGTATTACTGTTTTATGATGATTTGAAATGAATTCTCTGATGATAGACAATATTTACAAGGATTTCTATCAGACGTAGGTGAACTTTGTATTAGGAAAATTGTCCTATCCAAGTATTACTACCGGTAGAATGGATGAGAATTTGGTATATGTTTGAGAATCTTATCTCCTACATTTAACAACTTATCATATTTAAAAATTTCAAAGAAAAGTAAAGAAACCAAAGAACAAATTAGAACAAAGTCGGTCATTAACCGAAAAAAAATACGGATCAAGGCATATATTTGAATTATACGACATTCGATTCTAATGGGACGTGATAATTTCTACCGTATCACTAAAGAAGAATCATTGAACAGCCAAGACTTATAAATTTAAAATATGAGCCAGGAATTTGAGCATACCATTTTATATTCTTCGTCTTTTTTCATTAGTCAAACATTATTGACTTATGTTTACTTCAAGATATCTTTCCTTTCAAATGATACATTAATTTTTCGTTCGATAAATTTACCTTAATAAAGGTCAAATATTATTGGTAATTTCTATTAAGCTACGAAGATAAAAGTATTGAGCAATTTGTTGAAAAAGCATAGAATTAGAAGGATTCAGAAACGAAAAGGTTAAAAAGGAAAGAGGTGATAAAAGAGATAAGTGTGATAATAGAAGTAGTAGATATATTCTAGAGGATGATAATAAATGAATTAATCCTTGAAATAAACGGTAAATGAATTAGGATTAAAAGAAAATGAGAGAAAATGAGAAAATAGAAAATTAGGAGAAAAAGAAACAAAACATTACGAATATAAAATAGCATGAAAAATGTGAAATGAATTCATTGTTGATAATTATTGAAAAAGTTCGACAAAATTTTAACAAAATTAAATCCACTAAATAAATGTACCAATTGTATTATTTATACATAAGATGAGCGCAAAAAAAAAAAGTGACAAAAATTAGCCATCATTTAGCAAATTTAAAAAAAGAAAAAAGAAGAGAATGAAGTAAACAAATTAATGCATAATTAGTATTTGACAGTTACTACTGATGATACTACATTAAGAGAAATTAAGCGAAAGAGTTAGGAATATAAATGAGAAAAGATGATGGAAAATAAAAGTAGGAGGAAAACAATTGAAATATGCTGAAATTATCATCGTAAAAATTAATAAAATTTACTAATTACTATCATTGCATTAAAAGATAGTAATATCAGCCAAAAAAAATAAATAAATGAAAAAAAAGAACAACATAAAAAAATTACGAATATAAAAGAATTTCGAAGATTATTAATAAAATAAAATTTTAGAAGAGATGAAGGGAAAAAAATGATAATAAAAAATAGCAATTAATTTAGATTTTAACAATGATAATCAATAAATTTTAATAATATTATAATAGAAAAACTTAATAATATAAACACTTTAGATAAAATAACAAAGCAACTTCATGAGGAAAATAGCGTACCAATTCTTGGATTCTTAATGATTATTATGAACTAAACTCTAACATTTTAATATAATCTTCTTCCCAAATGTTTAATATATGATGCAATCGATACATATATATATATATATATATATATATATATATATATATATATATATATATATATATATATATATATATATATATATATATATATATATATATAT